TTGGTGTCAATGAATGCCAAATGTTTCCTTGTAGGTAAATGGCTAATATTATTATTACAGGGAAAATCTGTTGTGCGGGGATATGAAACATTTTCATTTACAAAGTAAATGAACATATGACAACATAAACATGAAAATGTTCAAATAAAGCTTAAAAGTCTTTGTATAAAAACACTTCCACATATATATATATATATATATATTTATATCTAAAATTCTTAATACAAAGTCAGCAAGAATCTACTTTCAAAAGACTATGTATCCAAAAACAATATGAATTTTTTGTACTTATCTGTTTGCTTTGTCATGAGCCTGAAATGTATACATTCACTTATTTTGACTTCCTGGAGCTAAAAGAGACTGTTTGTTTTTAGCTCTCGTGAATATTTTTTTTTTTTTTTTTTTTTTAAGCATTTCACCTCAAGCAAGGTGGGATGCCACTAGCACGCAAGAGGTTACAGAGAATGGGAGTAAGAGTAAAGAGGTATTATAGAGGAAAGGATGAAGAGAAGAACAGGGAATAGATCAAGGCATCTGGAGATGTCAATTGACATTACATTCGAATAGTTGGGGATTATAGCTATCAGGGAAAAAGTAATAGGAGGGGAATTCCACAGGCGAGAGGTGTGAGACATGAAACTATTGGAGTAGAAGAGTCGGCCACATTTAACTGTTTCGACAGTGAAAGGGTGGGACTGAGATGCCAGCCTAGTGGCATGTTTAAATTCATTCAGTCTGGGAACTAATGAAAGTAGCTCGTCAGAGCAGTTACCATGAAAGTATTTGTAGAAAAGAAAAAGGGAGATGATGGCACGTCTGTGAGAGAGCAACTGTAGATGAGTATGCCAGATCAAGGCCAATCACATTGCATGTCCGTCTCTGGATTTTTAAAATTTTTTATTGCTAAATGCTACAAAACAAATTAAAAACATTTTTATTTCAATTTTTTTCTCTGTGTACTGATATTAGTCAAAAAACTGATATTTTTTTTAACACTTGTTCTTGCAATAGACTTTTTTTTTTTAGGACTTCTGTAATTAACAGGTATAGCCACCACAAATTAATACCTTTTGTTTTCAGTAGGGTTGATATTCAAAGGATTTTCAGTGTTATTGTTCAGGAAGCAACATGAATGCCATTACTTCTATCAGAACCAATAAATGATTCTCCTCATCTGTTTTGAATATACTGAATGCATGCTTGTATTCTTCAGCCTTGTTGCAAAAATGTTTATAGTGTTTATGTAGAAAACATGTCTCCTGGTATATTTTTTCTGTAACAATTATTGCAGATTCGAATGTGAGTCAGAGTAATAAATGAACACAAAATATATAACGTGCTTAAATTAGAGAACGTGTTAAGGCCTACATGATAGACCTGTGTGTGAAAGTGTACAAAAAGTGACAAGAGAAAAAAAGTAAAACATTGACAATGAACATTCCCCAGTGGGGGGACACTTTTATACCACATGCAACTACGTCTTATAGAATTGTAAAAGAGGAAAGCGAATGAGTGAGTATATAAATTCCTACTTATAGGTTTAAGGAGCATCCCTTAGCAACATTCTTTTAGGAATGTCAAATAGTATAACCCAAAACTTTAGCTCTTTCATCATTTATTCCATTCAACTTCCTGTTCACCAACAACGTCCAGTTCACTTTATAGACATTGTGTGTCTGTTGTTTTAAAGTCCAATATAATGTATGCTTATTTGGAGTGGGAGCTTGAATCTCTGATGTGTTTCTGTGGGTCCAGGAATGTTTCCATTATTCTAAAATCCATTTACATATATCTAAAATAATGTATGCTTAATTGGAGTCATATCTTTGAATCATATCTACACCAGACTGATTATTTCTCCTGGCTAAATGTGGGTGACCTAGACAAGCTCAAAATAACACAGTTGAATGAAACATTAAATTGTAATTATTAGTGAACAAAAAAAAAAGAAAAAAAAAGAAAAAAAAAGAAAAAGAAAAAAAAGAAAAAAAAGAAAAAGAAAAAAAAAAAAAAAAAAAAAAAAAAAAAAAAAAAAAAAAAGAAAAAAAAAAAAAAAAAAAAAAAAAGAAAAAAAAAAAAAAAAAAAAAAAAAAAAAAAAAAAAAAAAAAAAAAAAAGAAAAAAAAAAAAAAAAAAAGAAAAAAAAAAAAAAAAAAAAAGAAAAAAAAAAAGAAAAAAAAAAAAAAAAAAAAAGAAAAAAAAAAAAAAAAAAAAAGAAAAAAAAAAGAAAAAAAAGAAAAAGAAAAATGTAATCAGAGGTCAGGTGCTAAAAGTCTTTTTCTCACCTGTGTCAATCTCATCCCCTGCATTCCTGTTATCATCATCAGGCCGTTGCTTCATAACATTCTTTACCAAGGAACTGAATTTGGCAGCACTGAAAATGAGAAAGAGAAATATATATTTAAATATATGTATAAAATAAATATATGTATGTATGTGTGTATGTTAAGGCAGCCTATCTTCATTCAAACAGGTTTCATTGAATAATATAGACATATTGTGTCTTCTTATTTTTATACTGATCCTTTGCAGTTCTCTAATCAGTTTGTTGATGTTAAGAGGAAATTCATCAGGGAAGGCAGCATAGTTATTTTCTACCCAAGTACTTTCGATCTTTTCCAGGGGTAAATTACAAACTTATTGTAACTACAATAAAACCTGCATTCTGCTGTGATGTTGGTATTTAAAAAAACGCATGTGAACGTGCTGTGTTATAATTATTTTAAAATTTTAATTTTATCCATTGTAGCTATGGAATTTTTTGTAAAACAAGCGTCCCAATATAAGGGAGCTGACCAGAAAATTGGTAGAAATGCAAAATGGCATTAAATGCTTGTTATATGCATTTCACTATGTTGCTGCTGCACTCATAATAAATTTTGTTGAGTGTTGGTTTGTTGATTTTAATATAGAGGGCCTTGAGAATTTGAAGTTTTCATTTATTTTTGTGCTGTAGCATACTGATGTTATCAATGAAACATTATATATATATATATATATATATATATATATATATATATATATATATTGTGTATATTTAGGCAGCAATTTTTCTTTGATGCATGTTTCATTAAATAATATAGACAAGTTTTGTCTATCTATTTTAAGTAAGTTCCTTTCATATTGTCTGATAAGCTTAATAACATTATCATTGAAAGACGAAAGGAAATCGCCATATTGATACATGTTTAAATCCTATCTAAGCTTTCGGCTTACATAGGCCATTATCAAAGATGACAATTACATTTCAATATATCAAACAATACATGGACGAAACAATAATGATAGTCTGTTTTTGTTGCATGAAAAATTTCAAAGCAATGACTAACTCATGTATACGAGACGCGAAAGTGAAAATTGCATCGCAGCTCGTGATGTCACACATGACCACATGAGAGTGAAAACGAGAAGTATTAAGTATGGGAAGCTGTTGGTATAAACCAATGGCTTCTGTTATCAATTATAGGCATTTAAGAATATTTGTGGAGATTTCATAGTTTATTTTGTTTAGGTTAGGGTACTTAAAATAAATAGACAAAACTTGTCTATATTATTTAATGAAACATGCGCATATATATATATATATATATATATATATATATATATATACGCATAAATAAAAACAGACTAATTTTGCTTTTCATGATTAAAAAAAGAAAACTGAAAAATAAAACACACACAGCTGATGGGTTTTGCCCTCACTCAACAGAGCTGGATTGAGGAAAATAAAACAAAAGAATGTGTAATATTAATGAAGGCAGAATACAATTTAAATTGAAATCATGTTTAGTTCTAACAGACAGTCCATCTGTTTACAGTTTAGGACTAAACGTGATCTCAATTTAAATTGTATTCTGCCTTCATTAATATTACACATCATTTTTTGTTTTATTTTCTTGCAATATATAATCCCTCACTTTGTTGTGTAAGAGCAAAACCAGTCGGCTGTGTTTTATTTGTTGTTTTTCTTTTTAATCATGAAAAAGTAAAATAATTGTTTTTTATTGCTATAATAAAATTCTGTACCCCACAGAAAATTATGAATTATATATATTTATTGTGTATTTGGGCGGCAATCCCTCTTTTATACAAGTTTCATTTAAAGACCACTGACAAGGTACTATGATTAAGTTTTTTTTATTTTTCTTGGGTTTGTATATGTGATTTCTTTTCTAGACAAAGTGTGTAAAAATTGTCCAAATGTCCTGTCTATCCAAGTGCTTTTGGCTAATCCTTTAGCGATGTTGGCTGCTTCTCTTTTATTACAACAGGCTCCAGAATTTGGAGTCGTCTTGGCACCTAGTCCTACAGAAAATGTTGGGGTTACCTACTAAAATTTGTATTATGTGAATATTATTTTATTTGTTTGTCATATGTTCATCTATATGTGCATATGTATATATGTACGTGGAGAAACAGAGAGACATGTGTTGTATTCTATTGACACTCCCACATCTTTTAAAGAAGATAAAGCTTAACTAATACTGTTGTAACACTGATTCAGGATATAAAAAGGCTTCAAAGCAACAAAAAAGCCATCTTCTGTAAGATATGCCTGAAGAGGATTATCATCTCTCATTTGCGTCTCAGTTGCAATGTTATGCAACAAACTGTCTTTTTCAGTATAATGCTCTCCGGCAGCTAGCAAAACGGCCCTGTCCGGGACGACACTCTCCGGCGGCTGGCAAAACGGCCCTGTCCGGGACGACGCTCTCCGGCGGCTGGCAAAACGGCCCTGTCCGGGACGACGCTCTCCGGTGGCTAGCAAAACGGCCCTGTCCGGGACGACGCTCTCCGGCGGCTGGCAAACGGCCCTGTCGGGACGACGCTCTCCGGTGGCTAGCAAAACGGCCCTGTCCGGGACGACGCTCTCCGGCGGCTAAAAAAACGGCCCTGTCCGGGACGACACTCTCCGGCGGCTTGGCAAAACGGCCCCTGTCCGGGACGATGCTCTCCGGCGGCTAGCAAAACGGCCCTGTCGAGGACGACACTCTCCGGTGGCTAGCAAAACGGCCCTGTCCGGGACGACGCTCTCCGGCGGCTAGCAAAACGGCCCTGTCCGGGACGACGCTCTCCGGCGGCTGGCAAAACGGCCCTGTCCGGGACGACGCTCTCCGGCGGCTGGCAAAACGGCCCTGTCCGGGACGACGCTCTCCGGCGGCTGGCAAAACGGCCCTGTCCGGGACGACGCTCTCCGGCGGCTGGCAAAACGGCCCTGTCCGGGACGACGCTCTCCGGTGGCTAGCAAAACGGCCCTGTCCGGGACGACGCTCTCCGGCGCCTAGCAAAACGGCCCTGTCCGGGACGACGCTCAGCTCATCCTCTATATGAACATGTAAAGATAATTTCTGCCTTGTGCATTGTAACCTTATTTTTGTTAATGTATTTTCTTTAATGAAAATAAACTTGGCAATATATTTTTTACTCAAGTCTTTGTTTTGTCTTCCATCATTCAATATCTGTTTGCAGGCTAATATACTGCCTGCAACATATGTACTTGTAGTAATAGTAGAGGAACATCAATTTGAGTATAATAACCCTTTAACATCCGAGAATGATCAATATTTCAGTTATCAAGATAACATTTCATTCCCCATATCGGCTGTTCTTATTTCAAAACCAATATTATTCTTTGTTTTTGTTCCTCATTTCTCCCCGTCTGGGTGGAAAATATAAGAGAACTCTTTTACATAAACACTTTATTCAAACAAACATTGACTGATTCTCCAACTCAGTTGGTCCCACTGACCATGTAAACAAAACAGCTGTCAACAAAGCTGATCCATTTACATATCCTGTTTTAGCAGCCTTGTAAACATTCTTTATCTATTATTACTCCTGGGAGGCATGAACATAAATTAGAAGAAATGAAATAGCTGATAATGATGCGGTTGGAGGAAAATGTGTAGTTTATGTGCAGATGTAATCTTTGATGAATTTCTCAAATGAACTCTTGAGTGACTTTAATCAAAAGAGTTGTGAGTTCAATACCTGGTTATAGCAGAGAGAAGAGAAACTTGGGGAGTTGAGTTACTAAAGAGAGTTAACTGAAACATATCCTCAAAAAAATGCATGGCATGTAAACTTAGAACAATTTACCCCCCACCCAGTGGACTAAAAAGAAATATCGCCTGAAGAAGGTCAAAGCATACAGTGGCCCAAACCTCATGAATATGGGAATAAAGATGAGGACAACACTTCAAATAATATAAATTCTGTAAATAGTTACAATACCTCATCTCAGAAATATAGACAGACCCTGAAGGACAACAGTCCAAACAATATAAATAATGTAAGTAACACTGACATCTCATTTTAGCAGATATATTTACCAAAATTACTCAAGAAATACTATAAAATAAATTTATTCAGTAAAATTGCCACTGGCTTCAACCACACCCTCCAAACAACTTTGGAATCTCCTACATTTCTTCTGGAGTTAGTGAATGCTGCCATAATCCTTGCCTTCAGTTAATTTTTGGTGTTAGGAGCTATGTTGGTCTCTTGCTTAACCATGTCCCATACACAATAATCAAGGGGATTGCTATCTGGGATAGAACTGACCAGATGTAAATTTTAGATTGAAATGGTTGCAGAAATTGTCTACAGCCATTTTAGGGTTCTATATTTATATGTGGCATGGGGCAGAGTATTTTGGCAGATATCTTCCAGCAGTCACCCTCTTGACCCAGGGCATTTTTATTGATTAAATATACATGAAATATATATATATATATATATATATATATATATACAATATATATATATATTTAAATTAAATTAAGAGCCAGACAAACCTACCAAGGTTTCGGTTTACGCCAGGGAGTGCTGCAATATCTGATGACAATATTTATTTGAAACCTTGGTAAGATTTCTGGCTCTCCTTTAGGTTTAATTAGGTTTCTTTATTTTATTTAGTTATTTTGTATCATTAACTCCATATAAGGGGTTTCTTTTTTGGACTTGGACTTGAATGCTAGACGATTATTTTCGGCTGATGTACATGTTCATTGTTCTTTTTTTTTTTTGCATTTTTTTTGAGTTTTTGGTATTGGTTTGATTATATATAAATCAAGACACTGTTTTTATCTGAATGGACAGTATAATCTTACTTATTATAAAACGCAGATTGTGTGTGTGTGTGTCTGTAACGTTTATATATTGGATAGGATTTCCTACATTTTTCAACCGATTTCAACAAAACTTCACAGGACTACGTAAAATTACTTTGCAGTGGTTCTGACAGCAACAAAAATGGGAAAAATACAATTGTTTTTGCACAAAATCAATTTGAAAACATGATTAAGAGACATCGTGAGAATGAAAGGGGACAACTCATATCAGTTCAGGTTGTTTTTGTGTGGGGGTTGTGTTTAAATATGGGATCGGATTTCCTACATTTTTCAACCGATTTAAAACAAAACTTCTTTTTTTTTTTTGGCAGGTAGTGTTTCTTATTCTCTTGCACACTTTTTCTTTATTTTTAATATTCAGAATGCTTAAAAAATTCCATTTACAAGACAATTGTTTATAATAAGATTCTATTCAATCGGTAGAGACCCATAACGATTGAAAACAATGTTTTTTTTGAGTTGGGTTTGACCAATTCATAAAAAAAAAAAATAATTAAGACATGATGGTGGATCCTTGTTATATAAACAGGCAATCTTTGTCAATTTTAGTTTTTAGTCTTTATGATGGTCGATACTTGATCTATCTCTTATATATATATATATATATATATATATATATATATATATATATATATATATATATACACACACACTGTCAAATTTTATTATAAAAGTCAATATTTTGACAATGAATTTATTAAACAATGGTAGAAATAGAAAATTTTTGTCTCTTCAGAAAAAATGTCCACATGTTGAGCGTAATTCTTTGCTGAAAGCAAAATTGAGCTCTAACTCAAGCTTGTTGATTTAGAAATCTGCAGGGTATGCAAATTTGTCATCTGTCCAATGCTGGGTATCACGGTGCCTAGAAAACCACCGAATGAACTTGGCAACTGTTGGTGTGTTGGCGGCCATTTGGCAACCTTGCACATATTCTTTCAGCTAGAATCCTGGGCTACACACCTCTACTCATGAAACAATCCCATTTTTTTTTCAGTTTGACAGATTTTAAAAACATTTATACAGCCTTGTTTATGATAAATTATTTCCCAAACTACATCTCCTTTCCAACGGATGAAATCTTTGCTAGCCTCTCCCTACTTTATCGCTGCTTTCATGACTGATGTACAGACGTGTGTTACATTCCTTAGTTTCAATATTTCAGACCTTTACAACTAGGGCCTGCCATGTCACATACACAGTATCAACTTATTTTCTTTCCGTTTATATTTCATTGATAAGGAAGAAGTTATATTCAGACAGCTTCTTTCCAAGAACAATTATAGTGGAACTTCTAATTGTATGCTTCCCTGTTCACAACAATCTTAACATATTCAGTGCCACCTTTTATCTATCCTACATATCCCCATAATACACATATCTTAATCCCTCCATGTATGCCCTTACGATGTCATTCAACAACCCTCTACCTTGAGTGGCAGTCCTGAGTATGACAATAAACTACATCCAGCAGCAAGGCTTTTGATTGGGAGATCGACAGTTTTGTGGAGCTAGGAACATCTGCTGTTGTTCCCAGTTGACCTGGAGTGGTAGCACCTGTTAGGGTCCGATCTATGGCCAAATAGTGAACTCCAAAACAAAAACAAAACACTATGAAAGTATAAAAATATTTTTTTTATACTAAAAATACAAGCAATACATTTTTATATTAAAAAATTATCAACGATACATATTTATAGTAAAATCACCAACATTACGTTTCTAAAGCAGATTTACCAACAATAGATTTTTTGTAGCAAAATGACCAGCAGTACATTTCAATCTGTAGTTGAAGCCATAAAACTGTGTTCAAAATATTTAGATTTTGGCATTAAGTAACCCATAGATGTGTTGATATGCCGCTAAACAAAATCAACCAAGCAACCAACTTTGAGTGGCTCTTGGACTTTGGTGTTTAATGGTTATTGGCACAAAAAGTGGGATTGTCATCCAAAGTTCAAATTTCATTAAAGGCCGTTGCAGTCACTTTCACACATATACTTTGGGAAAAGTAACCATCTCTCCCCACAGCTAGGGGGTCAATAGCAGGACAGACTGAACTCTTTAGCTGTGGATGGCAACAAGCCTAAGTGAAGAAAAACTAAATTCAAAACCAGCCTGAAGAGAATGGGCTCTGTCAATCTAACTTGCTGTGACTGCATGTTGTGTCCTAACAGTACAAATGAGTTAAATAGCAGTGTAGACCAAGTTATTTTGCCTTAGTAGGCCAATCAGTCTATGAAAAGAAAAACTGAATTCAAAATCAGCTTGAAGATTGTCAGGCTAAATTAGCCACACCCACTACTCTTATGGCTTCATGTGTTAGCCCAACCCAATTATACAGATGGGTTACAGGACTTATGACATGATAAATATTATACAGGGTATAGCAGAAATACCACCCACATATATCTTAGAAATACTTCTCACATAATGGTAAGATGTTAGTGGTAGTGATGTCTTCATCTAGCTAATGTCTTACCATTATGTGGGAGGTATTTTTGCCATATCCTGTATTTAAAGTCTTGGTAATCAAAATAAATACCATGATAGAAATTATTGAGAAAGCTTTGCCTTTCATAGTGGAAATCAGTGAAAAACAATGGAATTAAAAAAAAAAAAAAAGAAAGTATGTCTTAATAATAAATCATGGGAAAAAAACCATCTGCACATTTTCTTTTTGCATTTTTGTGTCTATTAATCCAAGTGTATCATTTGATTTGTATTTTTGATGAATTTATATTCTTTTTCTCATGTGTATTTAGTTTTCACAATGCAAATTCCTGAATGTCTTCTGTAGGATTTTATCTTAGATTGAGATTTATAACCAGCATTTCATTGTGGATGAATGACGTTATTATTCCTTTGAAAACCCTTTCTTTTGATTCCTTGAATGAGACTTGGTCCAAAAGTATCCAGTCATACAATATGAGCAAAAAATAAAAGCCGCAAAAAATGACAACAAAACAAACAAACAACAACACAAAACAACAACAACAAACAAAAAATCAAAAGACAAAAAACAAATAAAAACACAAAAACAAAAAGAAACCCTACTGTTTTAGTTCCTTGTAAAGAATTCACTTTAGAATCAAATGCATAAAACAATACCACCTACCATTTTTTAAGATATCTATGTAGGCGCAGTGGAGTAATGGATATTGGCTCAGATTGAGAAATCATAAAACCAAGTCAGAGTACCAAATTGAGTTTGTTACATTCACTTATATGCAAATATCCTTGTGAAATGAATCCTCCTCTTCTCCCACCAGCTATGGGTAAATAGTATGTCAGACTGGGTCCTGTAGCCTTAGGTGGCAACTAGTCTAGGAGAAGGATCTCTGAATAAAAAAAACCTCCAACTAGAAGTTAGATAGCCTTACCAATGCACAATTGGCTAAGCATGATGTGTATGGCTACACCCCCTGAAGACATGGTCAATGAGGGAGAGGTTACTCTCCAAGGAGTTAAAAGGTTCTTGGTTTGGTTGATTTTGTTTAGTGGCATATCAACCTCTATGGGTTATTTACAGCCGAAATATACATATTTTATATGTTATTTGCATTGTCATTTTGTTGCTCATTTTATTATATAAATAAAATGTACTGTTGGTTTCTGTTTGTTGGTGGGGTGTCACTATTTGCCCATAGCTGGGATCCTAACAAGCACTACTGTCCTGGGTAAGGGTGGACCTGGGAACAACAGCAATTAAGAGGGGGTTCCATGCTCCTCAAAACCTCCCAATCAGACATCTTGTTGTCAGTTTATTGTCATACCCAGAACAAGAGGTAAAAAAAAAATATGTTGTATGTGAATGATAGATCTATGTGGTGTAATGCTTTGCTAAAACACCTCATAAGATTCAGAAGAACAACTCGTTCAGTCATTGTGACTGAGTGGATTACATGGTATATCAGTTTACCCAGCGGTATCTCACTGCTAAATTTGATCACCACTATTGAACTTGATCTTCTGATGGTCAGTTCCTTGAACTACTCCAGAACCTGATTCCATGCCTTATCTTTACAAGATCTCGTCTACAATCACTTTCTCACAGATGCGCTGTTGCCTCTCTCTGTTCTACTTTCATGACAATTGCTCCGAGGAGCTGCATTCGCTGGTTCCCAGACTTCATGAGTTCAAGTGCCCTACGAGGCTGGCATCCCTCTCTCGCCCTTTCACTGTCGAAACTACTAAATGTAGCCGTCTCTTCTACTCCAATAGCTTCATGTCTCGCACATCTCACCTGTGGAACTCCCTTCCCTATTCCTGTTTCCCTGTGAGCTATAATCTCCAGCTATTCAGGTGTAAAGTCAATCGACCTCTCCAGTTGCCTTGATCTATCCACTACCCTTCTCCTCATCCTTTCTTCTATCACTCCTATCTGATCTTGCTCCAAATTTTCTGTAACCCCTTGCATCCTAGTGGCTTCTCGCTTTACTTGGGGTGAAACACTTAAAAGAAAGAAAAAGAAGAAAGAAGAAGAAGAAAGAAAGAAGAAGAAGAAAGATTAAAAGAAGAAGAAAGAAAGAAAGAAGAAGAAAGAAAGAAAGAAAGAAGAAAGAAAAAAAGAAGAAAGATTGAAAGAAGAAGAAAGAAAGAAGAAAAAGAAAGAAAAAAAAAGAAGAAGAAAGAAGACGAAAAGAAAAGAAAAAAAGAAAAAAGAAAGAAAAAAGAAGAAAAAAGAAAAAAAAGAAAAAAAATAAAAAAAAAAAGAAAAAAAGAAAAAAGAAAGAAAGAAAAAAGAAAGAAAAAAAAGAAATAAAGAAAGAAGAAGAAAAAAAGAAAGAAAGAAAAAAGAAAAAAAAAATTCCAAAGAAAAAATTTGCAATTTTTCTTTTTTCTGAAAGAAGAAAGAAAGAAAATAAAGAAAGAAAAGAAAAAAAATGAAAAGAAAAAAGAAGAAGAAAGAAAAAAAATAAAAAAAAAAGAAAAGATAGAAAAAAAAGAAGATTTGAAAAAAGAAAAAAGAAAAGAAGAAGAAAGAAAAAGAAGAAGAAAAAAAAAAGAAGAAGAAAGAAAAGAAGAAGAAAAAAATAAAAAAAACGAAAAGAATAAAAAAATTCCTTTTAAAGAAAAAAAAAAAGAAAGAAAAAAGAAGAAGATTTGAAAAAAAAAAAAAATTTCAAAAGAAAAAAAAGAAAAAAGAAAAAAAAAAAAAAAGAAAGAAAAGAAATTATTTTGAAAAGAATTGAAAAAAAAAAAAAAAAAAAGAAAAAGAAGAAAAAAAAGAAAAAAAAAAAACAAAAAAAAAAAAAAAAAAAAAAAGGAAAAAAAAAAGAAAAAAAAAAAGAAAAAAAAAAAAAAGAAAAAAAAAAGAAGAAAAAAAAAAAGTTCCAGAAGAAGAAAAAAAGAAAAAAAAAAGAAAAAGAAGAAAGAAGAAAAAAGAAGAAAAGAAGAAAAAGAAGAAAAAAAAAGAAAAAGAAAAAAAAGAAGAAAGAAAAAAAATAAAAAAGAAAAGAAAAAGAAAAAAAAAAAAAAAATAAGAAGAAAGAAAAAAATATCGAAAAAATAAAAGAAGATTGATAAAAAGAAAGAAAAATAAATAAAATAAAAAGAAAAAGAAAGAAAGAATTGAAAAGAAATAAATAAACAAAAAAAATCAACTAAGAAAAAGGGGAAACAACTGCTATATCTATTTGATCTGTCCTGTTTGGAGTATATTTGCATCTGAGGAAATTGCCTTTTTGAAAAAGTTTTTTTGTTTTCATTTGTTATAAATGAATTCATTTCCATTTTTTCCATAATCTGAAAATTGCTAAAGCTTCTTGCTATCCTAATTTTTATTTCCATGAAAAAAAATTTTATTTAAAATGTTATTCATATTTTTTGAAATCAATTCAGACCTTTAAATTTATAAACCAGACAAACCATTAAAAATGAGAAGAACTTTTCATTCTCTTTCCTTCTATCATTAGTAAGGAGGAATTTCTTGGATGAGGATTTTTATAATTATTTAAAATAAAAAAAATAAATTTGATATGGAAAAAATATAAATAAAATGATTTTCAAAATTAAATTCGGTGAAGGGTTCAAATTCAATTGAATTCCACTACAAACAAAACATTTATACATATATATATTATAAGATGACAAAAATCCCATTCCATTGTAAAAACTTATCAAAATGTTAAATAAGCAGGTATCACAAAAATATAAAAAAAAAAGACTATTTTAATAAATGTGGATTATTGTTTATCATCCCAACATTTCAACAATGTGAATCCATTGAATAAACAAATATAAACAGATTTTGTGATAACAAAGAAAGATGATAATATGAGTTCCATTTTTAAAATTAATGAATTTTTAGTTCAAATCAGAAATTTAATAATTTTTGACATTTTTTTGAACAAGCTTTAAATGAAAATTTTTTCATTAACAATTTTAAAACTTCAAGGTCTTTCTTTTCAAAGTTATCTATTTTATTTCCTGTATAAAATGCATGCTTTATAATTATTCCTTAAATGTTTCTTTACAGCAATTTCATTCAGTAATTATATACATTTTTTTCCAATTTCTTGAGGATAAAAGATAGTAAAAAAAATAAAAAATTTAAAAAAATTTCTATTACCAGCAGCCTGATTAAAATTATTATCTTAGTTAAAAAAAATAAAATCATATTCAAAATTAAACCCAAATCAAATATATTATATACCATTATTGTTATATAAAAACAGTTAAATTTTAAAAATTAATTCTTTTAATATTCAATATTTTTTTCCATTTTCTTTATTATTTTATTTTAAAATTTTTTAATTTTTTTGTTTTTCAAAGCAATTAAATTTTTTTCATTTGAATTTTTATGCTATACAAATTTATTTTACTCAAATGAATTTATTTTTTCACAAAAATTGTTTTCTTGTACCAAAATAAAATTTGAATTTTAAATTTTCCATGAAATAAAAATACATAAATATGAAATATAAAATTTCAACAGTTCTGATAAAAAAAATAAAAAAATTAGTCCCTATAACAAAACTGGGGATTTTTTATGCACAATCTATAATACTTCTCAAATCAAATTCTTTTTAGAATCAAATTTACTTTTTATAATAAATTATTCTTTATTTATGGAAAAGAAATATGGGACTGAATGTATATATGCAATATACATAAACTATTTAAATAAATATAAATTTTTAAATAAAAATATAATTTGCATTTATACTGTTCAAGAAATTAAAAAACTGTGTGTATAATTTTTTTTTTATTTAGCAATATTTTTTTTCATTATGTCAGTTTTTAAATATTTCAAATTCTTGGTAACTTGACTGCAAGAATCAAAATAAAAACTATAGATAAAAAAAATTACAATATATCTCATTGTTGGAATAGATCCTTAAATATCAAAATAGTCTCTAAAATGACACTTTTGCAAATAGGAATTCTATTATTTTTTCATAAATTAAATCACCAATTTCTGTTTTTCCTGAATTTTCTGTTTTTCAAAACATTTAAGCAATCGAAATCACTAATTTTCTATATTCTTTTTTTACTTTTCTTTTTTCTATTTTCTGTTCAATAAAGATGATAAACAATGCACACATCCTTTTTAATTAAAATAAAATTATGTTCAACCAAAATTATTAAATCTGATTTGATGAAGGTTTTTTATGTTCCAAATTAAAAAAATTATTACACAAACAATTTTCCCAGTTTTATCCAAAAATAATTTATAGTATTCTATATCAATCTAGGTTATTTTATCATTATAAATAAATAGTCCCTTCAATAAAAAGGGTTAAAAAATATGAAAAAAAATTATATCAGTTAAAAATGTTGAAAAAAAATTCATAAAAAAAAAAAAAAAAAAAAAAAAAATTTATATAAGTATAGTTTTAAAAAAAAAAAAAAAAAAAAAATATTACCAGCAAACATTTTTTAAAAAAAATATAAACTTGCAAAAAAACAAAAAATCTTTTAGAGATTTTGAAGGAAAAAAATCCTACCAAAATAGATTTTAATAAAAATATTACCAACAATGAAAAATTTTGTTGGCATTTAAATAATTAATTATAAAATTTAATTTAGTCCCATATAAAAAAACAAACCAAACCAGTAAGAAACAATGTTTGTAAATGGCATTTTGCCTTGTTTGTGTGAAAATATCCAAAAAGAAAAATATTTACTACCATATAGGATGAAAGAAATGGAGTTTTCAGCAAATGATGAAAAAACATTTGCAAAATTAAAAAAATTTAAAAGAATTTTTAAAAAAACCAAAATATTCCAAAATCTCAGCATCACATTAACCCAAAATCTCAACCATTTTTATAAATTTAAATATTTCCATTTTAAATTCCAAAAAATGATTATTAAAACAAATCTTTTAAAATGTTTATTCAAAAAAAAAAGAAAAAGAAAGAAATGTCTCTGATTAATTTTTAAATTAAAACATATTTTTTAATATTTGGCTATGTATATTGCGACTATGAATATTCTTTGAAAAATAATTTTTTCCCATGAAAATCAGATTAGGAATATATCAAACAATATCCATCTTTTTGCTGAGTTTTTTGAAATTTTGTTTATTAATTTCATGACATTAATTTTCCCTTATCAATTTAATTTTCAATAAACATTAAATTGTTTATTTATATTATACTCATTTTATGTGAAATAAATAATTCATCATTTTATTGATTTCATTAATAAAATATTTTTTTATATTTATATGTATTTCATATTTTTTTATTTTATTCAATTATATATAGATGTTCAGTTTATATATATATATAATATATGATATATATATGATAATACAGGGTGCGATGGATAAATTGTCGTCTAAATCGTCTAAAAAAAAATAAAAAATAAAAATAACACTGATACCTCATTTTAACAGATATATTTACCAAAATTACACAAAAATATCTTGAAATACTAAAGAGTAAATTTATTCAATAAAATTGCCATTGGCTTCAACCATGGCCTCCAGATGACTTTAATCTCCTGCAACTCTTCTGGAGAGTCTCCTTGTTTAAGTTGGTGAATGCTGCCATAATCCTTGCCTTTAGTTCATTTTTGGTGTTACAAGGAGTTTTGTTGGTCTCTCACTCAACTGCACCCCACACATAATAATCAAGGGGGTTGCAGTCTGGGGAGTTAGGTGGCCAGATGTAAGGGGTGATGTGGTTGCAGAAATTGTCTGACAGCCATGACTGGGTTCTCCTGCTTGTGTGGCATGGTGCAGAGTCCTGTTGCCAGACATAGGGTCTTCCAGCAGTCACCCTCTTGACCCAGGGCAGCACTACCTCCTCAAGGCACTTGATGTAGGCCTCTGTGTTGAGTCTGAGGCCCTGTGGGAAGATGATGAATGGGAGGCTTTTCTTATCAGAATCCATCACTAGTGATCACTCCAAACACCTTCTTAATCACCATTAGACTCATCCAACTCTTTCCAAATCCTCTGCACTGTCCTCAGATTGACACCCAAACACTCTGAAATGTTTGTATTGGAGTTTCTGGCACAAATGCCAAACAGTACAGCATGCCATTTCAAATTTCTGGCAGAGTGAATTGCATCATGGTGCTTTTTTTTTTCTCACAGATGGTGCCCAACTGACCCTACTATACTGTGCAGTTGACAAAAAAAAAAAAACAAACATGCATGCACAAAATTAAAAAAATATAAAATGGTGACAATTTACCCATCGCACCCTGTATATGTATATATATATATATATTATATATATGAATATATATATTTATATATAAATATTTATCATTAGAATTCAATATAATTTTTATACAAAAAATAGATGTCATCAAGATAATATTTATAAAGTTAGAAAATAAAAAATAGATTTTACACAAACATTTTATTTAAAATAAATTTAAATTTATTAAGATCAAACATTTTAAAAACAAATATTTAATATTGAATTAAATTTTAAATATTTTTTCATAAAATTTTATAGATATACAGAAAAAAAGAAATGTTAAATTTTTCTTTAAAATTTAATTTTAGTCCTTTAAAAAAATAAGATTTGAATTTTAAATGATTTTTTTGTTTCAAAACCAATTTAAAATTAAATGCCTTATAGATTTAAATATTGATTATATATATCAATACAATTATATAAAAAATAAATATGAAAAAAAATCTTTTAAGAATAAAAAAAAAATAAAGTTTATCATTTGTTTTTCAAGTTTAATAAATATTTATAATATTTAAATATAAATAAATAAAAAAATAATTTCAATTAATCTTTTTTTTTAAAAAATATAGATTTATTAACAATTATATTCAGATTTAAATTTTAATTTATCTATCAATTAATTATATAAAAATTAATAAACATAATCATTTAATTTTACATAATTTTTAAACTGTATGATTTAAAAATTAAAAAATTTTTTTATTTTATAAAACAATATAAAAATAAAAATCATTTTATTTTAAAGATAAATTAAATTTATAGAAAATATTTTTTTTTTTGAATTTTAAGTTGAATTTTATAATAATTAAATGAGTATCTTTTATTCACAAGAAAAATTTTAAAGAAAAATTACAAAACAGTCAATACAGAAATACCAAATAAAAAAATTTAAAACCCATTCAAAAATTTTATTCACCAAGTGATTTTAAAAATAAAATATTTAAAATATTTAAAAAAAAGTTATCCAAATAGTTACCATCATTTTTAAAAATAATAAAAAAAGGCTTTTTTTTCAATATTTAAATAAGGAAAAACAAATAACAAATCAATAAATGAATATATATAATATTGAACTTATTGTAATATTTTTGAAGTATTATAAAAAAAAGAGTTAAAAACAAAACAGACCATAAAAAATATATATATTTTAGCAAATAATTTGAATTTACAAGATATAGTTATATAATAAAATATTGGAAAATTTTTAAATGATTAAAAAAAACAACAAAACATCAAGAAAATCAAAAAGAGCCTTTTAAAATATTTCATTCCAAGAAGAATTTCAATTGAATGATACAAAATATATAAAAAATTTTATAAATGAATTCCAATTTTGATACTTTTATCTAAAAAAAATAATCTTAATATTTAAAAAAAATTATTTCATAATATTTACATAAAAAAAATTTAAAAAATAGATTGAAAAAAAATTGGATTTCTATTATTTTTTATTTTTTCTATAAAGATAAAAAAAAAAAAATGTTAAAAAGAAAATTTATATATTATATTCAAATAAAAACTTTTTTTTTTTGATATAATTTTAAAAAAATTATTTTAAAATAATTCCTAAATGAAAAAAAATTACTTTTTGAATGTTACAATTTTCAATTTTTCATTAATGTAAATTATTATTCAGGATTTCTTATATGTATATAATATTATATAAAAATGCATGTTTTCATCAAAAAATAAACTGAAAAAAACCTTAATGAAAAATTTTTAAGAAATTCATTTATTTTGAAAAAAAATAAATTTAAAATTAAATTAAATAAATAATATTTTATTTTTGATTTTATTTTACTTTGATAATTTTTTTTCTTATTTTCTATTTTAAATTTGTCCAGATAATCAAGGAATTATAAATTTTAAATGCAATGAAATTGGAATTTAAATTTGAAAAAAGGTTTTTTTTTTATTTAGATTTTTTCAAAACAGATTCATTTAAATTTTAAATGAATGTTATATATTAATTTTTTTATAATGGAAATTTAAATTTTTAAAATTCATATAAAGTAATTTTTTTTTTTTTTTTATTTATTTGAAAAAATTTTTAAAAAAATCATTAAATAAATGTTATAAAAAAATAAAAATTTTGAAAACACAAATTTATTATTTATATTTAAAATTTAATTTATAAAAGATCAAAGAACAATTTTTATAAAAAAATAAAAATATTTATAATTTTTACATCTGAAAAAAAAAAAAAAAATTAAAGATAATTAAAAATTGTTAAAATAAAAAAAACATAAAAAAATTAATTGCATTTTTAAAAAAAATTTTGAAATTTAATCAACAAATAAAAAATTTTTCTGATTAATAAAAAAACATTTTATAATCAAATCTGAATACATAAATCAAAAATTTTTTTTGTCTTTTATTAATAAAATAAAAAATTTTTTTTTGGTTTTTTCTATATTACATTAAAAAATTTTAAAAAAAAATTAATAAAAATAAATTTTCAAAAAAAATATTAAAGAAAAATATTAAAACTTTAAATTTTTTTTCCAATTTTTTTTCAACATTAAAATCAAAAAAAATTTAATATTGTTGGCAATAATAAAATATAAAATCAATTTTTAACATCAAATACTTTATTTATAAAAAATATAAAAAAAATTATAAATCATTATTTATAAATTTTAAAAATCAATATAAAATATAAAAAATAATTTTAAAAATATTTATTTTTTATAGAAAAAAAAATATAAATAATTTATATATACGGAATTATTTAAATCTTTCCTTTAAACAAATAAAATTATAATATATTTATTGATGATTAAACATATTTCCTAATATAAATTTAAAACAATCTATTTTAATCTAATTTTAAAATATTTTAAAATTTGCTTTTATTTTTTCATTTTATTCAATAGTATTCTAATATCATATTTTTTTTTGTTTAGAAATTTTTATATATTATAAAAAAAAAAAAAATTGTTAAAATATATAAAAAAATATAATAAAAAGAATTTAAAAATATATATATACACATATATATATATATTATAAATTTTATTTAAATATTAGATTTTTCACATGATTAAAAATTTTAATTCTATATATATAAGATACAAAATATATAAAATAAAAATATATTTTTATATAAATTAAATTTATTGAGAAAAAATTATAAAAAACAATACAAATATAAAAAATATATAATTAATAAAAGAAAAATTTTTATAAAATTTTTAAAAAAAAAAATGTTTATTTTTAAATGTTTTTTAATAAAAAAAAAACATTTTTTTTTTTTTAAAAATAAAATCTATATTTATCAAAAAAATTTATTATATTTAATTGAAAATCCAATACATTTGAATTTATTTAATTAAAAATTATATATAAAGATAAAATAAATATATAAATATAAATATATATATATATATATATATATAATATTTATATATTTATATATTTAAATTTTTCAAACAATAAATAAATATGCCTATTAAAATTATACAATATATAGAATTAATTTAAATATATTATATTTATATTTATAAATAACCAGAATATATTATTATATATATATATTATATATAAAATATAATATATATATATATATATAATATATATATTATATATATATATTTAATATAAATATTATATATATATATTTACTATATAAAATTTATTAAAAATAACAAATATTATATAAATTAAAATATAGCATATATAAATAAAAATATATATAATATATTCAAATTTTTAAAACATTTAAATATTTTATATATATATATATAATATATATGACTATAAATATATTTTAATATTTCATATAAGTCAATATATATATATATAATAAAATATTTACATGGAAATTTTTATATATATA